ATACTATTCAAAGATAAAATAAAGAACAAGGCATTGATGGGGGGACAGGGGGTGGGAGGGATGCTGGGACCCGTAGTGGTGGAGGATGGGCACTGGTGGAGGGATAGGTACTTGATTATTGTATAACTGAAACCCAAGCACAAAAATTTGTAAGTCTATAACTGTACCTCATGGTGTTTCACTAATAAAAAAAAGAACAAGGCATTGAGACAGATAATCCATATATATATGTATATATATATATATATGGATGAGGAGAATACAGTCAAAATGTCCATTCTACCAACATAATATATTGATTACATATGCAATCCCCAAAAAATTTCAATGACATTTTATTTTCTGGGGACTTTGGGTACTCAGGGGTTATTCCTAGCTCTGTGCCCAGGAGTGACCTCTAGCAGGGCTTAGGATGCTATGTGGTCCTAAAGGTTAAAGCAGGCTCTGTCATATGCAAGGAGAATACTTTATCTCCTGAGCTGTTTATCTGACCCTCCAATAATCCAGTAACACCTTTTGAAAAAAAAAAAAGAAAATAGGGGGCCGGAATGAAAATACAGTGGGTAGGGTACTTGCCTTGGATATGAGGTTCAATCCTTAACACCAGGTTCAATCCTTACCACCACATAGTGAATGGAGTCAGAATAATAGCGTAGCAGGTATGGTTCTTACCTTGCACATGTACAACCAGAATTCAATCCCCTAGCACCCCATATGGTCCCCAGGACCATGCCAAATATGATCCCTGTGCAGAGAGCAACTAGTAAGTCCTAGCACTGGCAGGAGTAGCCCCAAAACAAAAAATAAAAAGAAATGGAGGGGACTGAGCAATAACACAACAGGTAGGGTGTTTGTCTTGCACACAGCCGACCCAAGTTTGATACCCAGCATCCCATATGGTCCCCCCGAGCACCGCCAGGAGTAATTCCTGAGTGCAGAGCCAGGAGTAAGCCCTGAGCATCACCGGGTGTGACCCCCAAAAAAAAGAGAAAAAAAGAAATCGAACATTGAATTTTAAGGTTTATATGCAGTAATAATGGATCTCAAGTAGCTATAGAATCCTGTGGAAGAAAAATTATAAAATGACAATAATTGGAGCAATATGAAACTAGAATAATAAACAAATAGATAGTATAGCAGGAAAGATGCATAAGTACCCCTGTACCTGCAGGAATGATCCCTGAACACCTGAGCATCTGGCCACTCTGGGGATGTTTCTTCTGTTGGGAATTTGCTTAGCTCTTTTATTCAGTGATTTAATGACGAAGTAGTCTGCCCCACTGTACATTCTATCCACAGATCAGTCATATTAGTAACCTACTATCCTAAGCCATTTCTATTCATTCAGTATTCAGAAGAATCCACAAACAGAGCATCACATCTCCTTGTTTCCACTTCCCCACAAAACCCAAACTGACAGGTACCACAATACTCTCAACCATTGAATTCAGCCTTAGGGACACAGTTCTCCAGGCAGCTATTACCAACTGCAGTTGAGACCTGAAGTGACGGGGTTGACTCTTCCTAGCTTATGGTTTTGTTGTTAGTATCTCCTGATTGTGAGGAAGGGAGCACCTACAGAGAAAGAGATTTCAAGGATGCACATGAATTGAAAGCAGCGAGTTGTTGGGGATTGGAGTCTATCCCTGTGTTTTACCTATATTACCTCTCACAGCAAAATCTATATCTGTGTTTTTAATGTGCCCTGTTTTTTAAATTTGTTTTTGGACCACACCCAGAGGTGCTCAGAAATTATTCCTGGCTCTGCGCTCAGGAATTACTCCTGGTAATGCTCAGGAAACATATTCGATGCTGGGGATCAAACCCAGGTTGGTTGCATGCAAGGCAAATGTCCTACCCACTGTGCTATCGCTCTATCCCCAAATGTGCCCCATTTCCCACGCATTTTCAACTAACCAATCCTCTCTGAATTACACAGTCGCTCTGAGAACTGGTCTAACAAACTTAGTTGTTAGCGATTGTGTCTTTTTATGACTCAGATAGGCAGCTATTGGATGGAGAACATATTTTTGCTGCTAATATTTTCTCAAGAGATAGCACAGCAGTTAAGGCACTTATTTGCCTTCCACGTAGCTGAGCCCGGTTCAATCCCCGGCACTGTATATGGTCCCCCAGTGGAGTAACCCCTGATCATAGAACCAGGTATTATCACCGAGCACTGTCAGGTGAGGCTCCCAAACACAAAAATATAAAGATGTTTATGTGAGTAATTTAGATTGAATAGGAGAATAGTGGAGCAATTTAACCAAAAGTCAATGATCAAAATCAACCTGAAGGTAGACTTCTGTCATAGTCCATAAGGTAGTGCTTGAGCATGTGGGTTTAAGGACTAGACCTTTAAATTGTCTGATTTTAGACAACTTTCCCTTCTGTGCGTCTTTCTTTCTGTCAAGTGATGGTTATAGAACCTACATCTTAAATTTCTGAATATTTAGGGAATAGAAATGGCTTAGAATAGTAGGTTACTAATATGTGGATAGAATGTACAGTGGGGCAGAGTACTTTGTCATTAAATCACTGAATGAAAGAGCTAAGCAAATCCTCAACAGAAGAAACTTCCCCAGGGTGGCCAGATGAGAATCTTCAGGGATGCAGGATAAGGGTCTACTCCTTTAGTAGGAATAAACAGTTTCTCTAGGGCCAGGACTCTGAAAGTGCAATTATGTGCTGAGCACTTAGACTTGTTACATTCTGCTTATGAAGTAAGCTAAAGAATATTCGAATTGCATTGTTTTACACAGCCATTAAATGCTTTTTTTGGGCAGCCTATAGGGCCTTCAACCAGAGGAAACCAAACCAATCCAGCAAAACTTAATTCCTTGAGGAAAGTTTTAATATGTTCATTCATACTGTAAAATATTAAAGTAACAACAAACAATTTAGGTATCAAGTATTAACCAGAAAAAAGTGATTCCCCCAAAGCCAAGAGAAAATTCTCCCTATAGTGTCTTGCTGTTACTTCATCTCAAGAGAATATTAAAAAAATTCTAAAGGGTCATTTCATGTTGGATGATTTCATGATCATAGACTATATGATAATATAAATTTTTCAATGTTGGTAAAACAAATGATAGAACCTATAAGTGACTTAATAAATGCATAAAGTCTCAAAATTGTAGTATCTATTGTTAAAGCTATTCTACTTCTAGCTACTCTTTTCCTGTCTATAAGCATCAGCATTATTTTAAAAGAAACAAAAATGCTTTTTAAGGTTTGTTTTTGGGTCACACCCAACAGTGCTCAGGGATCACTCTTGGTTCTGCACTAAGGGATCACTCCTGGTGGGGGTCTGGGGACCCTATGTGGTGCTGGGGTAAGCCTTGTGTAAGGCAAGTGCCCTACCCCCTGTACCATTGTCAGCCTGGGGCATATCACTTTAAAAGCAACATGTGCCGAACTGGAGAGATAGTACAGTGGATAGGGTGCTTGCCTTGAAACCATCAACCTGGAATCCATCCTCAGCATCCCATATAGTCTCCTGAGCTCGCCAGGAGTAATTCCTGAGCACAGTGCTAGGGATTTGGGATTTGGGATTCAGCATCAAAAGGTGCAACCTAAAAATAAAGTAAAAGCAACATGTGCCTCCTAAAACTATAATACTGTGGCAGGAAAATAATAGTTCTATAAATAAATATACATAGGATTATATTCAGCTGATGGAACTCAGACCTGTGCTCCAAGTTCTCTCCCTGATCCCCTATTTTTTTTTATTCCCTTGAATTCAGAATATGCACACACTGTAAGAAAAGAGATAGGTGTTCAGTGAAAATTCAGTCTCCTCCCAGCCCTGTCAGAGGCAATCTGAGTTTTCACATTTCCCTCCATAGATTTGTTTCATTGCCATTCTTCTTCTTTTTTTTTCTGGGTCACACCTGGCGATGTACAGGGGTCACTCCCGGCTCTGCACTCAGGAATTACCCCTGGCGGTGCTAAAGGGGACCATATGGGATGCTGGGAATCGAACCCGCCTGGCCACGTGCAAGGCAAACACCCTACCTGCTGTGCTATCGCTCCAGCCCCCATTGCCATTATTCTTGACTCACCCATTTCACTCTCCGCATTGAGGCAAATGTGCTATTTAAAAAGAGAGATCCCAAAGCACTTTCTTGAGCAAAGCCCTAGTGCTTCTATTTTTTGTGGTTGACAGGATCTTTTAGGGGCTCCAGATTATCCGGGAGAAACTCACTATTAATAAGACTTCTACAAATTAGAACCTCATTAATTGAAGTACGTGCAAACATTTGGAAAATGTTTTATATTGAGAATCTGAGTTGTTTAGATTGTGCTTTAAATAGTTTCATCGGTGGTAGGTTCTTTAAAGGTTGGGGGGAAAAAGTCCTAGTATTTTGAATCACCATCTCATTCAAACTTGTCAATCGAGACTCAGGAATTCGGAAAGAACGTGAAACGGAACAGGGAGTTCTCGTGTTCCTTTCTGCGTATTCCTGGGCAAGCAGTAGGACTGGCTGAGGGTTCCCTATCAGAGGCCTTGAGCTCTTAGTCTGGGTCCTGGGAGTTGGCCTGGCCTGGAGCCTCATCTGCACTCCACCTAACAGATAAGGTACAATGAGTTGGGCACCGTTAACTCCAGCGAGGCCTCTGGGGTCATGACCCATGCAGGAGGCACAGATATGCAAGACATTGCCTGCTGGGGATGTGTAAGGTCAACACGATTCTCCTGCAGGAGGACGCAGGTTTCAAAGCGTCGGCGGAACGGGCGGAGATGCCCATGTGAGTGTCGAGGGTTGCATGCAGCCCAGCTGCTGACCGGACCCCAGAACGCCACGACAACGGAACCCGCTAGGTCCGCCCCGCCCCGCCCCCGGGCTCCACTGAAAACCGTTGGGCGGAGGGGGGAGTGGAAGTGGAGGGGGAACGCTGACGGGCGCAGCCAATCGCGGGGCGGCTTTCGGGTGACGTCAGGGCGCGCTCGCCGACTCGGCGCTCGCCGTGGATGTGCAGGGCCGTGCGGGGGCCGGGCCGGGCCGGGCGACGGTCGTGCGCGGCTGGCGTGACCGTGGGAGCCGAGGGGTGGGGGGGTTGGGCTGCATTTGCTAGGACAGCGTTCGGCGTGTGTCCGCGAGGCGCGGCGGCGAGACTCGGACCTGCGTTGGGTGAGGACCTGGCGTGGGCGGGCCACTGCGTGCGCCCGAGGCGCGGGGCGCGGAACGGGGAGTTGCGGGGCGGACTCGGGGACAGCATCCTTCCGGCCCTCGCCCCGAGGCCCGGGTAGCGCGCCTGGCCTGTTTCTGTCCTGCTCGGCCTACACCTTAGGTTCCGTCTAGGGCCCCGCATCGGGCTCCGCCCTGCGGCCGATGCAGCGAGACACAGGTTCGCTGGGACCAGGGCGGGGGCGGGGAGGAGGTTACCCAGGAAGTTGGGGGACCGGGCCAGTTGCTGTCCAGCAAGAAAACGCCCTTAGCCTAGTGAGGGTCCAGGCGGCGGAGGTGTGCGGGTTGCCCGGAGCTGTCGCGCCCGGTGACGGTCTCGGCTTCAGCAGCAGGGGAGTTTGCCGAGCGTACCTTTCTCTCCCCCCAGCCACCCAGCCTGAGTAGGTTTGTGAAATTTATGAAAGCACCCGACGACCCCGGTGATCTTGTAGGGTTGGGTTGGGTGCAGTTTGGCGGCGTTGTCCTCTCCCCTCCCCCCGCTCCCCCGGGCCTGGCAAGACGTGGCACGGGAGCAGGTTTTCGTTCTCCCGCATGCAGGCATCTTACAGAGTGATGGAACGCAAGGGAACAGTGGCCCCGAGAGCCAGGTTTGGTTTGGGGTTTGGGCAAGTTGTGTGATTTGTGTTTTGGACCTATGGTTTCTGTGTGTCGTGCCCCCTCCCAAGCTACCCCAGAACCCAGGGTAGCCCCCCCTCCCCCCCGCTAAGGAGATCCGGGAGGGAGGGTTGAGGATGTAATAAACATGAAGGTGCTGGAAATGAGTGTGAAATGAACACGAAGTGAACCATGCTGGTCGGGTTCTTTTTGTTCTTTTCTTGTTTGGGGGGCTACACTCGGTGGTGCTGCACACGGCTTTCTCCTACCTCCGCACTCAGCAGTCACACCTGGCAGGCTTGGGGGACCGAATGAGGTTCTGGGGATCTAACTCAGCTCAGCCTCCTGCAAGGCAAGCGCCCTTAACCTGCTGTGCTCTGGCCCGTCTTTTCATTATGTTATAAATGCTACGTGGCAGTGCTCGGGGAACTAGATGGGGTGTCTGGGGACAGAACCCAGCTCAGTCCCGTGCGAGGCAAACATCTCTCTCTGGCCGGGCTTCTGAGGTTCTTAACATGCTGTGCGTCATGCAGGAGGGCTTTAGTGATTTTTGTTTTCTCACTGCATCAAGATTGCTGAACCAGGTTTTTATCTTTTTTTCCCCCGACCCTTGAGAGAGATGTCACTTTTTAAAAAATTGTTGCTCACCTTTTGTAAATAGAGTAGTCTTTTTTGAGAAATTCAGGGAGTGGCCTCGAAGAATTGGGTGTTTGCAGACATTGTCAGTGAGTTCAGGATGGAGACATACTTTTCTAAGGGGCTGGGGGTGCGTGGCTCTTGTTACTACTGTGGACTTGAGTGTGGACAGTCGTTGCTTTGTAGACAAGTCCCCTTGGTTTGATCTGGGAAAGTCTGGGGCAGTTGCCCCTTCCTCCAAACAAAACCCAAAAAAGATGTATGCAGCAACAAGTTGTATGGAATGTTACCACTGCACAATATCCACTATTGGCATTTATTAAAGATATATGGTGACCGGAGAGAGTAGGTTGGGTAATACCCTTGCCTTGCAAGTGGCTGACCTGGGTTGGCTCCCTGGCACCCTAGCTCATTCTGATGGCCCTGAGCCTGCCAGGAGTGATTCTAGAGCACAGAACCAGGAATAAGTCCTGAGCGCCACCAGGTGTGGTCTCAAAATGAAAATATATAAAGACATATTTGTGTATTTAATTATTATAGATAGCTTACTGATGGGGCTGGAGCGATAGCACAACGGTAGGGCGTTTGCCTTGCGCGCAGCCAGCCCTGCTGAGCTGGGTTCAGTTCCTCCGCCCCTCTGAGAGCCCAGCAAGCTACCGAGAGTATCTCGCCCGCACAGCAAAGCCTGGCAAGCTCCCCGTGATGTATTCAATATGTCAAACACAGTGACAACAAGTCTCAAAAATGGAGATGTTACTGGGCCTGCTCAAGCAAGTTGATGAACAACAGGAGGACATTTAGTATTTAGTTTAGCTTATTGATAGGAGGACAGATAAGAAACTAGTCATTTTTAGCTTCTAGGGAAAACTGCATAGTTGAAAACACAGATATGTCAGCTTTTAGCTCTACTGCCTCTTGTGACTTCTATTTAATTTATTTTTATTATTTTTTTTAATGTAGGAGTACTGCTGTTTATTCAGCCACTGATTAAGCTCATTGAAGTGGTCATGAACTCCACATTAATGACTTCTATTTTAATATTTTATTCTATTTTAGTACGTGAATATACTACCTAATAAGAAAATAAGTTTAAGTTCTCTTACAAAATAATTCTCCCTTAAAAAGAGGCATTTTACCATTATTTTCTTTTTAAGACTTATTCTCTTAAAGTAACATTAATAATGTTGTATTTTCATCATTTAGTTATATAGCTAGCTTCTTCTCAGTTTTGGTAGAATCACCTTTGAGTTGTCTAAGTATTTCAGTACTTCCAGATGGAAAATATACTGTTCTTCTTGAATAAGTACAATTTGACCCACTATGGTAATGATTTGCTTTATTTCACCCAGCAAAGTCAGTAACATCAACAGTTTATTCAGCTTATATTCAATGATGAATGGAAGAAGAATTATGTATAAGAATACTGGAAGGTGCAATGGTGGTGAGATTGGTGTTGGAATATTGAATATAATAAATCATGAACAACTAAAAAATACAATAACCACTTTTGGGGAAATGGAAATATTTGTCTTTTAATAAGATAATTAGTGTTTAAATTTTTGAATATGACTGTTTTGAGAAAGAATTTTTTTCATTATCTTTTTTGTTTGGTTTTAATTGGGGGGGGCACACCTGGCAGCGCTCAGGGCTTGCTCCTGGCTCTGCGCTCAGCAGTCACTCCTGGCAGACTTGGGGAACCATGTGGGGTTTTGGGGATTGAACCCAGGTCAGCCTCATCCAAGGCAAGTGCCCTACCTGCTGTGCTAGCGCTCTGGCCCATCTTTTCATTATGTTCTAAATACCATCCATTGGGCAGAAGTAGCTTTTTGCTGGAGAGTTTTATGCGAAGGTAATCTGAAGTGATGACAGTCTGTGTTTTAAGGAAGAGAAGTTCTGGATAAAGAGAAAGGAAATGTTAGGTATAGAAACTTGAATCTAGAAAGACACGGAAGTGATGAAGACATTCTAATTGAACTGGAGATATTTCCTTATGACCTTGACACTGAGCATGCGTAATTGTAGGTGGGGGAAAGTGGTTGGATGGCCTGGGTCCAGATCAACAATTTGGACTTTAGCCATAGTTGGTGTGCTCTTTTTAGTATTACAGTGTATGAACTTTGGAAATCTCACTGAGAAAGTTTGTGAGAGGCAGGCCAAGACTAGAGATAAGTAAGCCATTTTTGTTGTAACATTCAGACGTAAGAAGAGGGATCAAACCAGGAATATTCTGGTGGGGATAAAGAGGAGCTTGATTCGAATGCTTTTCAGGGGGGCTGGGTGAGTTCAGTGGGAGACCACCTGCTTCCTCGAAATCAGGGTGGAAATTTCACCCCCAGCACTGCCCCATGTGCTGAGCATGATCCTGGGGGCACAACAGAGTGACCTATGGCAAGCACTGCCAGCAAGTGTGTGATCCCCAGCTTTTATACCAGTCTTCGAAGGGAAAGATAACTCTTGGTATGAATAATAAATGTCTTTCAAAAAATATTAAGAAAGAGGGTCTGGGGAAAGACACAAAGGGCTGGAGCACATGCTTTGTTCAGTCCTTGGTGTCACCTGGTCCCCCCCAATCACTGAGCCAGGATTAGCTCCCGAGCACCAGTGGGCGAGACCCCCAAATAAAACAAAACACTGATGGGACTTAGGAGATAGAGGCTCCATTGCAAACAAGGATCTCAAGGCATTTGGATGACTGGAAGCTCAAGTGTACTTGGAAAAAGGAATAAATTTGGAAAAGGAAAAGAGGAAAAGAGGTTTGTTTGGGACAGTGACTTTAAGATACCTGTATGAGACAAGATATTTCTGGTAGCATTTTGGAGGGTGGGGGAGGTTTGGGCCATACCAGCTGTGTTCAGGGCTTATGCCTGGCCCTGTGCTCAGGGATCATTCCTGGCAGGAATTGAGGAAGCATATGAGGTATGGGGATTGAATCCAGGTTAGCTGCATGACGGGCAGACTCCCTGCATGCTGTGCTGTCTCTCTGACCCCTAAGCCCCAGTGTATTTCAAGAGGGAGTGGTAAGAGTTACAGGCTGCCGGAATTTCAGAAGTCTGGATATACCAGTAGGTGAGTTACGTAGAAGTGATGGGGCCAGAACACAGTGCATTGGGTAGGGAGTTTGCCTTGTATGTGGCTGACCTGGGTTCGATTCCCAGTATCCCATATGACTCTCTAAGCCCACCAAAAGTGATCCCTGAGCGCAGAGCCAAGGAGTGAGCTCTGAGCATCATCAGATGTAACCCCAAAGCAACAACAAAAGAAGTGGTGGTGGAAAAAAAGATAAAGGATCACTCTCCTGGCCTGGCCAGGATTGTGACTTCGTGATAAGAGTACCTGGCTTGCATATATGAGGCCCTGGGTTCATTTCCTGGTGCTACAAAACACGGAGCAAAATAAAACAAAATAAATGGTAGATAAGGATTAAAGCTGCAAAACTCTACATTTATATAGAGAAAATATTCTAATCATAAATAATTTATATTTTTATAACTTTAGGAACTCTACTTTAAGAATCTTTCAAAACAGAAAAAGCAAGTCATGGAGAAGAATGAGATTAACCGGAAACTTCGGGTCTGTGTTGCTACTTGCAACCGTGCTGATTATTCTAAACTTGCCCCAATCATGTTTGGCATTAAAACAGAGCCCGAGTTCTTTGAACTTGACGTGGTGGTTCTTGGCTCTCATCTAATAGATGACTACGGGTAAGATCAAAGTGTTCCTGTAATCTTTGTGTCATGGTGTACATTGTCATTTTCACGTGTCCTCGGAGAAGTGGCTTTGCGTTCTTGAACTTCTGGTTCTTCAGTTAAAAAAATGAAGTGAAAAATCTATATTACAGATTATTATGAAGACAGGAGACAATGTTATAAATGATCACTCAGATGCTGCTTAATAGGTGCTTAATAAATGATGGCCATTTGTGATGTTCAAGTAATATTCAGAAAGTGCCACTTACATATTGTATGACTGTTATAGCATAGAATCATATGTTACCTGTTCTGTACGTTTTGGTAAAAAGTAAAGTAAAGGCCCTCCCGTTGATCATCGATTTGCTCGAGCGGGCCCAGTAACGTCTCCATTGGAGACTTTGTTGTTACTGTGTTTGGCATATCGAATACTCTCGGTAGCTTGCCGGGCTCTCCGGGAGGGGCGGAGGAATCGAACTCAGGTCGGCCATGTTGGCTGCGTGCAAGGCAAATGCCCTACCGCTGGTAATTCCACATTAAAACTGGTAATAGCAAACAGTATATAGAGTAGTAGTAATGGAATAAGAGGTTAGAAGCTAACAGATCTATGAAGTATAGTAGAAAGTTATGTTATAGTTATCACTTACTTGGGTGACATTTATTGGTATGAATTTAAAAGATAAGAACTGGAAAATCTTTGAAAGCACAGAGTATATGAACCAAAGATTCATTTTGATTAAATATGATATATTCATTTTGTTCTATGTGATAAAATGGTATTTAGTGCACCCTTGTGGCATGAAAACATTAATGCGGCCTGCAGAAATTGAATTGCATTAGATATGAAAGAAGATTATTCAGGTAAAGTTGTTTTTTTCAGACTGGTCTTTAAAAACAAGATAATCACAGCCAAAACAAAAGACCTGCCTCCAAAAGTGGGTGGGGGGGGATGCTGGGACCCGTGGTGGATGACGGGCACTGGTGGAGGGATGGGCACTTGATCATTGTATAACTGAAACCCAAGCACAAAATTTGTAAGCCTACAACTGTACCTCATGGTGTAATAAAAAAAGGAAAAAAAAAAAGTGGTTAGTAATATTCTCTAGAAAATGCTTGAAGAAGAAACTCATGGCTTGCTCCCGTTTCTTTAATTTTACAAGTAAAGTAAAGTAAAGTAAAGGCCCTCCCGTTGATCATCGATTTGCTCGAGCGGGCCCAGTAACGTCTCCATTGGAGACTTTGTTGTTACTGTGTCTGGCATATCGAATACTCTCGTAGCTTGCCGGGCTCTCCGAAAGGGGCGGAGGAATCGAACTCGGGTCGGCCATGTTGGCCGCTTGTAAGGCAAACGCCCTACCCACTGGGCTATCACTCCAGCTCTGCCTATGGCCAATTTTACAAGTAAATGCTAAAAATTGCTTCTCCTTTTTGGTTGAGGTTAGATTGTTTTTCCCAGATGTACTCAAGAAACACTCTTACCTCTCTGTCCTCTTCTGCATCAGAAACACATACCGCATGATCGAGCAGGATGACTTTGACATTAACACTCGGCTGCACACGATTGTCCGTGGGGAGGACGAGGCGGCCATGGTGGAGTCCGTGGGCCTGGCCCTGGTGAAGCTGCCCGACGTGCTCAACCGCCTGAAGCCTGATATCATGATTGTTCACGGAGACAGATTCGACGCCCTGGCCCTCGCCACGTCCGCTGCCTTAATGAACATCCGAATCCTTCACATCGAAGGTGGTGAAGTCAGTGGGACCATTGACGACTCCATCCGACACGCCATAACCAAGCTGGCTCACTACCACGTGTGCTGCACCCGAAGTGCGGAGCAGCACCTCATTTCCATGTGCGAGGACCATGACCGCATCCTGTTGGCGGGCTGCCCTTCCTATGACAAACTGCTCTCTGCCAAGAACAAAGACTACATGAGCATCATCCAGACGTGGCTAGGTAGGCAGCAAACTTTCATCATCCTAACGGGGGTTTTTGCCAGAATGTGCTGGGTGTGTGGATAGAATGTTCCAGTAGCTAAGGCCCTAATTCATGTAGCTCATCCCCCCTCCCCCTGCCCCACCATGTGACTTTGCCTCTCTGAAACTCGCTTTGCCTGTAATGTGCACTTAGCAGACTGAATTGTTTCATATGTGCTATATCTATACAACAGAATATATGATGTGATATTGGGTGTCTGTATAATGGTGTACAGCAACAGAACAGATCCTGACATTTCAGGAATTGTTGGAATATTCAGATGAGATCATGACCATTAAAAACCAGTTCACAAGCTGTACTTAACTAACCCAAGGTAATTTCTTATTAAGAAGCAAGTCACAGTTGTAGCACTAGAGTTTATTATCCCTGTAAGCAAGACCTCAGATCTAAGTTCTTCAGTGATCTAAGATTTAGCTTTCTCGAAATTATTTCGTGCTAGTCAGAGGCAAAGAAAATATATTTGTAAGTTAATTTATAGTAAGAGTATTCCATACAGAACAAATCAGGATTTTCTATTCAGGTATTTAGGACTGTAGTTTTATCAGTGGTAGATTTATTGAAGTTCATGAAGCAAATTGATATGGATACTATGTAATCAAAGTGACTGTATAGAAGTAAATCAAAATCAAATTAGAACGAAAAGGAGTTGAACTTTGCTGTTCTATAAGTCAATGAATCCTGTATATTTCTCATCTTGGGAAGATTTGTAGTTCTTAGGAACCTGTGTAGGGAATGCTGTGGGACAGATGTCTCTTTAGTCTCTTCATTTTTATACTTTTAAGCAAACATTCCTGCATTCTGTCTTGATCATATGTTTATGTATTCAGGAAAAAAATTATTTCTAGGAAATTTGTAATGAATGAAAAAGAGTATTAAGTAGAAAGCAGCAAGATTGTACTGCTGGACTTTAAGGTTTTCCTTGGGACATTTTATACAGTTTCTTTAGGGTAAGAAGCAAAAACTAGACTTTTTTTAAAGATCAGTCTTTTGGGGAGGGTGACACTGCAGACATAGCTCAGGAACAGAGCAGTCAGTTGCTTGTCATGTGTGAGGCCTTGGGTTGAAACCCCTATCCTCTAACTTCCCCCCAAAAAACAATGAAACTAGTGGTGAAACTAGTCACAAAAGGTGTCAGGAGGGACAACAATTGTGTAAAGTCTACATTTGCTTATCTTGTGGGGAGAGGGCCCACACCCACTCATACTCAGGGTTTACTCCGGGTTCTCATTCAGGGATTACTCCTGGTAGGCACAGGACAGCCACCATGTATTGAGTCAAGAATTAAACCTGGGTCAGTGACATGTAAGGCAAGGTCCCTCCCTGCAATATAACCTCTCTGGCTCCTGTGTTTGCTTCTGAACCTGCTACTCCTTTTTTCTTCCTTTTTCTTTTTTTCCATTTTGGTCTCTCCTGTGCCAGCAACCCCACTCCCACCTCTGGACTTACAACTCCTGATGCTATCATTCTGCTTAGGAAAAAAAGGATTGTGTAGGTTACTCAGAACGTGAAATTTTGTAACTAGAGTATTAATAAATACAAGTTCTAATAAAAATGATAGCAAATGTTAAATTACTGCCAATAAAAGAAATGTAGCAGCACATGTCGGACTTTACAACATAAAACAAAATGACAGTACTTTGATGGGAAGGAAAGGCTTGTGTGGAGGGGCTGAAGCTGTAAGCCTGGAGACAAAGGCAGAGTGCAATAGCATCAAAAGCTGTACGTTCACAAGCAGCTGTGGGTTTTTCTCTAGGTTTCTCTCAGTAGGGCCATACCCTGCGCCGCTGGGGATCACACATGTAGACATATGCTGTACTTCCTGAGCTTTTTCCCCAGCCCCTGCACAGAATGTGTTTTTTTTTTCCAGCTCAGTTCCCCCTGACCTCTTTTTCCTTTTTTCACATCAGAGAGTAATGAGCCAACATTGTAATAAGGTCTGACAAAGGCAAGGCTTGAGGCCCCAGTCACATGTATCACACACACATGTGAATACGGAATCATCATGCTTATGAGTCACAAAAGGATCACTGTGTTTCTCCCTGCTCCCCTCTCCCTGCACTGGTTTAAAAAGATACCCAGTTTTGCTCTTTTGCCATTCTTCTCATAGGTAAAGGTAAAGGTAAAGGCCCTCCCGTTGATCGTCGATTTGCTCGAGCGGGCCCAGTAACGGCTCCATTGGAGACTTTGTTGTTACTGTGTCTGGCATATCGAATACTCTCGGTAGCTTGCCGGGCTCTCCGAGAGGGGCGGAGGAATCGAACTCGGGTCGGCCATGTTGGCCGCTTGTAAGGCGAACGCCCTACCCGCTGTGCTATCGATCCAGATGCTCTTAAATGACTCCCATCTAGAATCCTGTTACCAAGTACAGTCCTGCTGCACTCTGTACCATATGGTTATTTTCTGTATACTCCAAATGTTTAAATCACACTTAAACTAGAGATGAAGGAAGAATGAAAAGCTTTCATGGGGTAAACTGTGAGAATTTTTCTTCCTCTTCCTCTTAACAGTAAATTGTATAGAAATTCTCTTCCTGGGACCACAGACACTCCCTCAGATCCTTCCTTACTCTAAAAGAAAAAATCCTGCCCTAGAAAAAGAACTAGGACCAGAGGGATAGTACCGTGGGTAAGGCGCTTGCCTGGCACACACCTGGCCTGGGTTCAGCCCCAGTCACCCACCCCCACCCCAGCCCTGCCTGGAGTGATCCCTGAGTGCAGAGCAAGGAGTAAGCCCTGAGCACCAGAGTGTGGCCTAAACCCCTCCCCCGAGAGGGGGTGGGGGAAGAGGAGAGAGATGGAGAGAGGGAGAGAGAGAGAGAGAGGAAGAGAGAGGAAGGAGAGGGGAGAGAGAGAACATGTGCTAAGATGGGTCAGAGTGATAGCACAGTGGGTAGGGTGCTTGCCTTGTGCATGGTTTGATGCACCCTTGTCCAGGGTTTGATGCCTGCAACACATATGTTCCCCTGAGCCCCACATGGAGTTATTGATCCTTGAGCACCTGTGTTTCTTCATATCTGTGAGGACTCACATATGATACAGCAAATGACACGATTTTGATAAATGTTTTTCCATTAGCCCGTCACAGATGAGTTGATTCACATGGTAGCCGGATACGCTAACTCACTTTGGAGCAGCACCCACAGCAGCATGTCCGCACATCTGTATGTCTTTTACAGTGGCGGAAACGCCTTCATTATTGCCACTCCCCACCCCGTTTTTAATTCTACGTTTCTTTGACTGATCACCAGTAAGAGTAGTCGCAGCACTTTCTAATGACTATTTGAGCATCCCTAGAAATAGACTCAGGAATCCCTGATCACAGATAGCTAGAGAAGTAAGTAGGGGTGGGGAATTAGTTCAAGGAGCTGAAGCACATGCTTCGCATGCAGATGTCCCACGTTTGATCCACAGCATTGGATGGTCCCTTGGTAGCACTAGAGATGGTCCCTGAGATGGTACCTGGAGTAGCCCCAGAGCACATGAAGTATGTGCCCCAAGTAAAAGAAAATACACATATTTAAATTAAAATAAGTATTAAATATATCTTTATGATACACAACTGTAAGTTTTAAATATTTAAGGTAGTATATTTGATTTACATAAGCTGAAATATTATTCAAAATCATTCAGTTAGTTGATGGTCAGTGTACGTACCTACACAGAGTCTAGTGCTTCTGTGTATGAGACTCAACAAATTCCTTAATCATCTAATCTTTCGTTAGTTCAGTTAAAAAAAGAGAGAGAGAGTTTCTTTGTTATGACCCCGATCTTTAGTACTTCACCTGAGAGTATGTTAATCTCTTCTTTCTGGAATTCTTTTTCTGGTTCTTTTAGGATTTTAGATAGAACTTTTATACGCTGGCTACCAAAAAAGGTAATATTTATATTCCTTTACATCAGTGTTGAACAGAATAAGAGGCAATATCTTACAAAATAAAATGTTGGCCTTTTGGACCTGGGCTGGACTCAGTGGGTAGAAGACTTGTATGTGTGAAGCCCTGGGTTTGATCCTGGGCACCACATGGTCCCCAAAGCACCACTGGGAGCAACCACTGAGCACTGATCCAGGAGTAGCCCCAGAACACCACCAGGTGTGACCCCTGCAAACAAATTTTAGCACATACAACCTTTTAAATAAAATTCTGAAGATTTTTAGTAAAAATTTTCTACTGCCATTAGTGTAATGGTAAAGATAAATATCATCATAAAGTTGACCATTAAATTTAGTATCACAAAATAAATACGTCTTTCACCAAAAACAAGCTAATGGGAACACATCCCAGCTGATGGGGTATATAATGTCTCTTCCTTTACTTTGTGGACACCACCTCTCCCCGATCTCTCTTTCTCTCTCTCTCTCTCTCTCTCTCTCTCTCTCTCCCTCCCTCCCCTCCCCCTCCCCCTCCCCTCCCCCTCCCCCTCCCCTCCCCCTCCCCCTCCCCCTCCCCCTCCCCCTCCCCCTCCCTCCCTCTTTTTCCCTTTATTCTTTTAATTAAAAATTCCCCCCTGCTCTTCTTTCCCTTGTTGCAGTTAGAGTGACTGGGGGTTGCCAGCTTAGTTGTGGTTCTTGCTGGGGTCACAGTCAGTACTCCTGCACATGATGGCTGTGGGTCATTGTGGCACACTCATATCCTCTTCGGGGTCCCATGCCTGGCCTGGCTGCCAGCACATGTCATCTGTAGCACTCCCAGACACCTGGCCATGTGCTGGACAGCACATAACTCGGTTATAGCACTGAGGATCTCAGGCGGCAAAAAGACCATGACCTGGCATATAAAGGTAGCATCAGGGATCAGACTTGGAGCCTCATGTGTGCAGCTTTAACCACTGAACCATCCTTGGCCCTCCCTCCACATGACTTAAAATACTAGACCCACTTGGAGCCCAGGGAGTGATTTGGCAATGAAAAGTACCTGCCTGGGGGCTGAAATGATAGGACAGTGGGGAGGGCACTTGCCTTGCATGCGGTTGACTCAGGTTCCATCCCTAGCACCTCATATGGTCCCTGGAGCCTACCAGCAGTGACTGCTGAGTATAGTGCCAGGAATAACCACTTCTGGGTGTGGCCCCAAACAAAAACAAACACCCCCTCGCCCCCAAAAAAAACTTGCAAACAGACTGAAAGTTCCATCCCAGCCCTACTGCTTGTGCCCATGAGAGGCAGTGCTGCTCTCTTGTGCTGCCAGTGATTCAGGAATCACTGTGGCCAGGTGTGGACAAGTGCCGCTACAACTTAACAGGTATCTGAAAGAGGCAGTAAGGCTGGGGGATAAGAAACATCTCACAGTGAGCATGTATAAAACCACAGGGACCCACGGGAGCAGCCACGACTAGCTTGGGCAACCAAACTGCAGGGTGCAGCCCCGAGCACGTGTGCAAGCCCCAGCCAGCACCGCACCCACAACCTGTCATTGCTGTAGCTGCATCAACAGAGGGAAGGGAAGGGAGAATGAATGTTACAGATTTTGTTTATGGCTTTGAGAAACAGTTACATTTGCTCCCAGAGTTCTTGGATTTGTAGCTGCAGTTTATCCATTGGTTCTAATTTGGACCCTCCTACTTAGATTGTGACCATAAAAACGCATGGTTAGGACTCATGCTTTGGGGTATTGAGTCTTCCTCTTTCACCGTTCCATGGTTCTTAACTTAGGAAGCAATGTGATTTGATTTGATTTTTTTTAAACAGGTGATGATGTGAAATCTAAAGATTACATTGTTGCACTACAACATCCTGTGACCACTGACATCAAGCATTCCTTAAAAATGTTTGAGTTAACATTGGATGCACTGAAGTCATTTGACAAGCGGACCTTAGTTCTATATCCAAATGTCGATGCAGGTAATCGAACTAGAAAATGAAATTTGGCCACTTACCTTTCCAGTTTTATATTTCTGTCACGTCTTCTTTTGACTTCCCTTCCTGTCTTGCTCACTTTATTGGAGACCAGACCATTCTGAAATGCATTCCAGTTTTCAAAGGACTACAATTGAAAGGACTACACTACAGTTTGGTGGTAAATTGAAGAGTTTATGATAAATTTTTTTTTTTTTTGGTCAGCAGTCTAGTAGAATAAAGACTACAACTAGACGTTTTTTGTTTGTTTGCTTTTTGTTTTGGGAACTTCAGTGGTAGTGCTCAGGGCTTACGCCTGGCTCTGCCTTCAGGGATCAATCCAGATGGGGCTTAAGGGACCATATGAGGTACTGGGGATTGAACCCAGGTCAGCCATATGCACAGTATGCACCCTAGATGCAGTACTTTGTCTCTTGCTCCTTGTTTTGTTTTTGTTTTTGTTTTTGCTTTTTGGGTCACACCCAGCAATACTCAGGGGTTCCTCCTGACTCTGCACTCAGGAATGACTCCTGGCAGTGCTCGGGGGACCATATGGGATGTCAGGGATTGAACTGAGTGCAAGGCAAACACCCTACCCACTATACTACCGCTCCGACCCCACCTTGTTTTGTTTTTTGTTTATGGACCACACCTGGTCATGCAGTTCAGTTTGATCTCCAGTACTGCATATGGTTCCTTGAGCACCACTGGATCTATATATGTATTACCCTCACCAAGTACACGTATCATTATTCTTTCCTAGTCTTTATTTTTTAGAGATATTTATAATGTTATTATTTTTGTTGTTTAGTATTATCAGTGGTACTGTGTTTGTAATTTACTTTCCTGATTGCATACATTTACGAGGTAGAGAAGTTTTTCCCCTATGGAATGAAAGGTTTCCACATTAAAGTTCATCTTCATGGCGTTTTTGACAATATATGTTTTTTCTTATCCAGTTCTCCAATGTAGGGTTCTCTAGAAAACTGCCTGTGGTTTAGGCTTAATCCAGAGAGAAACCTTTAGCTGAGACCACACCTAATTTTCAGATGGTAGCACCTTCTGTACGTGTACTGCAGTGGCTATTGGTGATGGCAGGAGAGTAAGTAGAAACAGGCTTGTTCCATGAGGTTAGTCTCTGCAGCCAGTAACTGCCTTACCACATAATGAGAGTTGGAAAGAGAACAGCACACATACCTGGCTTCTCTCAGATCTGCTGCTCCGAGGCTGGTAAGCATGGTGGGGTCACTAGATTGCCTCCTAACTAACCAGTCAGATTAGAAACTCTGCCTCCTTTGCTCGGCATTTGCTAGGAGAAGATGAGTGGAGAAGCAAGCACAGAGGCATGAACTACTGCTTCCCCCCTATTAAGTACAATATCAGCCATAGGATCAGAATCTGATGAGTGCCAGTGCCACCTGCTGAGCATCATGGTGTTCGTATAAATGTGGGCATGACTTTGCAGAGACTTTCTCATCACTTAGTATATAGGGTCCAAGGCCTCCCATTCAGAGACTCTCCCCCCTAAAGAGAGATAGTTGGCTTGCATTGAGCCCCTTAATTGTTTAAAGTGAAAACGTTTGCTGGGGCACTAAAAGGTATATGCTTTGCCCAGCAAACAGTTGGGACTGTTTGAAAAGTCCCAACTGCTGCTATTTAAAATTCAAGCTACGGCAGGGAATGCGGCTCTGTGGGAGAGCACTTGCCTTGCATCTGTGAGGCCTTTGGTTTAATTTCTGCCAGCACCAAAATAAATGTAACTAAATAAATTCCTAGAGAAGCTGAAGCAGGCATTTTAGATACTCATTAATCATGAAATGATCAGGAATTTGCTGTTTTCTAGTGACTGGTGTGTTTCTGTGGGAAGGTATCCTTAAGGGAAGCTATAAACTTGCCAGTAAAAATGGTTAGCTCTCAAGCCATTTAACAGTTGGTTCTTTTTATTTATATTTTTATACCAACAGGGAGCAAAGAAATGGTCCGAGTGATCCGGAAGAAGGGCATTGAGCGTCACGACAATTTTCGAGCTGTTAAACACGTCCCATTTGACCAGTTTATACAGCTGGTTGCTCATGCTGGTTGTATGATTGGGAATAGCAGCTGTGGGGTACGGGAGGCTGGAGCTTTTGGAACACCTGTGATCAATCTAGGAACTCGTCAGATTGGAAGAGAGACAGGTATATCTTTCCACTTCAATTAAGGTTAATACACACATGCGTTTTTGGATAGTGTACGAATCATTGCTGGCATGTACGTTTATATACCAAAATGGGTGAGGTTCATGAGCAATTATAGTGTGAGAGCTATAAACCACAAACTGATTTATACCGAAGTGGGTGAGGTTCATGAGCAGTTATAATCTGAGACCTATAAATCGCAGTCTGATTTATACCAAAGTGGGTGAGGTTCATGAGCACTTAATAGTCTGAAATCTATAAATCACAAATAGTGCTTAGCAAAATTTTACGAGCTCTGTTTCCATTTTTAGTGTCTTTATAATAGCAGATTCAAGACTTTCTTAGTTAATTGTGATTTTTGATGACTCTGTGTAAGTAAAAGTGTAGTTGAGTGTTACAAGTGTACAGATATGATTGCTCCAAGCCTGATGTACCATAAATACGTGAAGCATAATTGGGATTATTATTAATGTATTTGCTGGGCCATATTCTGCTACTGACATTAGTCCAAGTTCTAAGATGATACAAGCAAATATATTTCGGTAGCTAATGGAAGAACGGATACAGTTAATGGAAAAAAAACTGGACTCTATTCAAGGATATCGTTTAGAGCTTTGTTCTTTCTCTGTTCTTCCAATTGCCACTCTGACTTTTTTGTTACCTTTAGACCTTTTTCCTTTTAATTTCCAACATTATTTTGATTCTTCATAGAGAAAATAGGGGCCACGAGATGGCAGGCCATTAAGTTTCATTTATTAATTAAAAAAATGGGTCAGACCTGTGTGCTAGGCACTGGAATTCAGCAGTGGACCAGACCAACAAGGACTGTGCTCTGATGTAACTCTTTTCCAACAGGCAGGCAGGTAGTAACGGGCAAAAAGGAATAGCAGCTCAGGGTGTCTGTGTGTCATGTGGGCTGCAGCCCAAGGAAATGAGACTAGACTGGGAAGGCCTTGCAGGAGAGGACACGGTCTGCCATCCAAATGATGAGGCATTAGCTCTGTGAGAAGCAGTGAGACACCGAGGGAAGAGCCAGTATCATGAAATGATATGAGAACAAGCTTGAGAAACAAGGGCCAGTGTAGCCACGGAGCAGTGGGCAAGCAGAAGCATGATCCGACATTAGAACAGGTGACTGAACCTCTGTGAACCAGGGGAGCTAAGCTGGAAGTCTTTCAAAATCACAGTGGGGGGAAGCCAGTGAAGGAGGGAATGGCACACTCTGACTTCCATGCGCCTTGGGCTGCTCTGTGGAAGCAGAGAGACCAGTTACGAGGTGATCTGAGTTCCTGTGGGAGGTGATAGTGGCTAGACTGAGTGGTAGTGTAAGAGGGAAAAGTTTCAGTGGGGTTTGTTACTGTACTTGCTGATGCTTAGTTGTGAAAGGAAGAGAGAATTGGTGGTAAGGGCTCGATTCTTGGATCAGGCTCTTCTGTGCCATCATGGTTGGGATATTGGCAGGTTTGGGAGGGGGAGGAAGTGAGAGCTCTTTAGTGGTCATGGTAAGGTTGAGGTGCTTAATTGCTGGCAAATTAGAAGTGGCAGGAAAGCAGGGACTTAATTGAGTGCTACAGAGAGATGGTTTCTAGTTTGGACATCAATTTGGATGCTATAGCAGAAAGACCTAAAATAATAATGCCTTAAATAGGTTAGATTCTCTTGCTTTCTTACTGGTGTGGTGGCCCCACACAGAGACTTGGCTTCTATTTATCTTCCTGAGGTTGCCCCAGCTTTTGCTGTCAAGACACATTTTAGCCATTGGGAAGGAAGACAGGAAGATCCAGTCTCTTTAAGAACACAGTATGGAATTTGCAAGTATTCTCACAATCTCTCAGAATTTCATTTAGTTGCAAGGGAAGTTGAAGAATGTGGTCTTTATTTGGATAACTGGGTTCCTGCTAAACATTCTGTTACCAGGATAGAGAAAAGGTTTGCGCATAATAGTCCCTCTTTCGCCCAGTCTTTTTAAATTTTATTTTCGTAAGATTGTTCACATTAATTGATTACATTCAGTATTTCAGCACAATCCCACCACCATTACACCTTCCCACCACCATTATTTCAAATTTTCTCACCACCATTAAAGCCTGCCTGCCACAGGCAGATGCTAGATAATTTATTTTCTGTTGCTTATTATGAATATCATGAGAGGTTGTGTGCTCCTGGAATTCTAAAATTGTAAATGATTGGGGTCCAGAGACATCTCTGTAGGGAGCTAATTCATTTTGAGATTCATTTGTGAGTCTCTGGATCAAGGCCGTTAATGCGCTTAGATGCTCCTGGAGGCAGTTCCTGGGTATGACAGCTTGGATCCCGAGGGGGCGGGGAGACGGGAAGGGACAGCCTCTCCCCACCACTGCCCAGTGGACTGGAGTCTTCAGTCCCTGGTCCCATGTATCTGGGTCTTTCTTCTGAAGCTTTGTGGTCACCGGGGGTTCCTTTGGAGTGGGTGGAGATAAGACACCTGCTCCACCTGAGGTGCCCGGTGAAACCGGCTCAGCATGGAGTCTGGAGAGGTCTCCTTTGAGCTGCTGTCTTCCAGGATTCAATGATGAGTCTCTGGATCAAGGCCGTTGATGCACTTAAATGCGCCCATGGTCTTTAAATTAAGGGATCAAATAAGGTGCCAACAGATACTTGAATACTAGGTTAAATACTGGGTTTGGCAAGCATTCTTTGGTCAAAGGCAGTCACTGGACCTGCTGCCACCACATGATAATAAACAGGTCCTCACCCGCCCTTTCTTGCACTGGAGTAGTATCTGCCCTGTCTGTAGTCTACAGCCTTCTGCCTGTGTTCTCAAGCCCCACACTCCTGGCCTGTCATTCTTTCTCTTGCTTGTATTTTCCTTTTTTGTGGGTTCTGGGGGGCTCAGCTCCTGGCTGTGCTCTGGGGCTGCTTCTGGTGTGGTGTATGGGGGCTGGCCATCCCTGGCAGTGCTTGGGGGACCATGCAGTGCTGTGACAAGTAGAGCAGCCACCTAGCCCTGTACGTGTCTAGGAAGTTCACTGCCTTAGCAGGCCTGCTCGTTGACAAACTGACCAGTTTGGCTTGGTGAGTGGATTTGTTAGAACAGAGGAAGGCAGGGCACGTGCATGATGACTTGGTTAGTTGTGGTGGGCCCAGAGTTTACCTAGTTTACCAGTTTTAAAATTTGTTTTGTTTTGGCTACAATTCTACCTGTGCTTAGGGCTTAACTCCTGGCTCTATGCTCAGAAGGGATTATGGTACCATATGAGGTGTAGAAGGTCAAGCCAGGGTTAGCGACATGCAGGGCAAGCACCTTACTCCCATCCCCTTTTAAAGTCTGTTTTTCAGCACTTAACTCCTGATTCTGTTTAGGGATCATTCCTGGTGGTACTCAGGGTGCCCGGGATCCAACCGGAGTCAGTTGTTTAAAGCAAGAAACCTACCCGCTGTCCTATCTCCCTAGTCTCTGTCTTACTCATTTCAATAGAAAGCAGAAACTTGATTTATTCTCTTAGGAAATAAAGGATTCTAGTGCCCTCAGGTATCTGATGTGGAAATCTTGCTAAGTGTACTTTTTAAAAAATTTTATTTATTTTTTATTAGTGAAACACCATGAAGTACAGTTATAGACTTACAAATTTTTGTGCTTGGGTTTCAGTTATACAATGATCAAGTACCCATCCCTCCACCAGCGCCCATCCTCCACCACCACAGGTCCCAGTTAATTTTATTTTTAAAATTTTTTCTTAGTGAAACACCATGAGGTACAGTTGTAGACTTATAAACTTCTGTGTTTGGGTTTCAGTTATACAATGATTGAGTACCCATCCCTCCACCAGTGCCCATTCTCCACCACCAATGATCCCAGTAGCCCTCCCATTCCCCCCCCCACCCCACGCCTTAGTGGCAGGGCATTCCCTTTTGCTCTCTCTTTCCTTTAGGGTGTTGTAGTTTGCAACAGAGGTATTGAGTGGCCATCACGTTCAGTCTGTAGTCTACTTTCAGCATGCATCTTGCATCCCAAGCGAATCTTCCAAACATCTTTTACTTGGTGTTCCCTTCTCTATCTGGGCTGCCTTTTTCCCCAGCATGTGCTGCCAGCTTCAAAGCCATGGAGCAGACCTCCTGGTACTTATCTCAACTATTCTTGGGTGTTTGTTTCCCATTCTGTTATTTTAGCTAAGTGTACTTTAAAATGTATAAAAAGTAGAACAGTTGAAGTTTCTCCAGTAAAAGACTTACTTGAAGTCTTCATGAAACTCATGAATCTGGGTTTCATGATTAATTATTAGCATGATCCACTGCTAAATGCTTTATGTTTTGTATAGTTCCACTTAAAATCATTATATGGGGCTGGAAAAACAGTGTAGTGGGCACAGTGTTTGCTGTACATGTGGCTGTTCTGGGGTCAAATCCTGGCACCCCACATGGGTCCCCTCAATACCTCTAGGAGTGATCCCTGAGTGCAGAACCATGAGCAAGCCCTGAGAACTGCTGGGTTGTGACCCCTCAAACAAAACAGCAACAACAAAAACAACAAATCATTGTTATATGTCAATGTTTTTTTCCTAGGGGAAAATGTCCTTCATGTCCGGGATGCTGATACACAAGACAAAATACTGCATGCTCTGAAGCTTCAGTTTGGCAAACAGTACCCCTGGTGAGTATAGACTGTTTTAAAAGGGAATTTGGGGCTGGAATGATAGTATAACAGGGAGGGTGTTTGCCTGGTTTGATCCTGGTTTCCTGTACGGTCCCCCTAAGTAGCACCAGGAGTAATTCCTGAGTGCAGAGTCCGGGAGTAACCTCCGAGCATCGCTGGGTGTGACCAAAAAAGCAAAAACTAAAAATCCAAAACAAAGGGACTCTGTCTCAGGCACCATATTGGAGCTGTGTGGTTCAGGACAAGTCATCCTCATACCTGTATCCCGAGAAGGCCTTAGATGCTGACAGCAGGGCTTGTGGTTATCTCACCCTCTGTTATTCTCTGAGGCTTTCTGTACAGAATGACTTACTTGTGTCAGTAAGTGAACATAGTGTGTCTGCCTGGAAATACATCTGTAGCCTGTATTCAGTGTCTATAACTGTCAGAGTATTGTAACTGATTTTCTTAAAGACTCCAATGGGCTGGTTCTGGTGTCTTAGCTGTTGGCCAATGGCTGAGGTAGCTCAGGGCAGGCCTGGATGCTTGGATATATGGTGGAGAAAGTTGGTGTGAAGAGCAAGGCCAGTGGCGAGACTAAAGCTGGACACTGTGAGTGCCGCTGCCCTAGGTCTGTGGGAAGGAGAAGTGGGCAGCTTCCCAGCTCTTAAAGACTGATGTGGTTTGGGTGAGGCCAGAAATCTCCTGAAAAAATTAGCCAAGCTTTTGACCTCCACAATTCTCTGAAGAAATTTTGGAGGAAAAAAAAATTTATTTAATCGGGGCTGGACAGATAGCACAGCGGGTAGGGCGTTTGCCTTGCACGCGGCCAACCTGGGTTCGATTCCCAGCATCCCATATGGTCCACTAAGCACTGCCAGGAGTAATTCCTGAGTGCAGAGCCAGGAGTAACCCCTGTGCATCGCCAGGTGTGACCCAAAAAGAAAAAAAAAATATTTAATCAAATTAAAAGAAAAGAATAAAAGCAAAAAATGGGGGGGGGGAAGCCTAGAAAGCCTAGTTCAACATTTTTAAATTGCCCTACTTTTGATTTTGATTTTATAAACTTTTTGTTGTTTGAATGATTTTTTTTTCTTTTTGGTTCACACCCGGTGATGCTCAGGGGTTACTCCTCGCTATGCACTCAGGAATTACTCCTGGCGGTGCTCGGGGGACCATATGGGATACTGGGAATTTAACCCAGGTTGGCTGTGTGCAAGGCAAACGCCCTCCCCACTGGACTGTCGCTTCACCCCCTGTTTGAATGATTTTTTTCCCCTCAAGATGTCCTTTCCCCAACAAACATAAAATGAAAACAACAACAAATCACTTTCTTAAACTTGAGATTTTGAAATTGGTTTAACAAAGATTTCTGTTCCTTGATAATACAGACATTTTATTAATGCCTATATGATATGTCAGACTGTGAATAGATTGTCTCTGAATCAGCTGTGGAATGGTAATATTCAGGTATTTAGCAAAGACATTCCTGGAGAGATTCTGATATTATTTTAAAAAGAAGCTCAGGTTGTTTACCTGAATGCCAGCTTCCAGGATTTACATCATAGACTCAATTATCATTAAACATACTGGAGAGAAAAAAGTGTTTAATAGAGTTTTTGGATGTTGCAGTTCAAAGATATATGGGGATGGAAATGCCGTTCCAAGGATTTTGAAGTTTCTCAAATCCATTGATCTTCAAGAACCACTGCAAAAGAAGTTCTGCTTTCCTCCCGTGAAGGAGAATATCTCCCAAGATATTGACCATATTCTTGAAACTCTAAGTGCCTTGGCTGTGGATCTTGGCGGGACAAACCTCCGAGTTGCCATAGTCAGCATGAAGGTAAAACAACTGGCCTTGTCTCCCTGATGAGTACCTAATCTTTAAAAAAAAAAAATGGTGGGGCTGGAGCTGGAGCTGGAGTCATAGCACAGCGGGGTAGAGTGTTTTTGCATTGCACTCAACCAACCCGGGTTTGATTGCCAGCATCCCATATGGTCCCCTGAGCACCTGTGCATCACCAGACCCAAACAAGCAAAAAGAAAAAAAAAGAAAGGTCCAGACTAGAAACATATGAGAGGTTCTAATCCTTTGTCCAGAGTATTGTTTGGTTTTGTTTTCCTGGTGCCTGGGATCAAACCCAGAGCCTCACACATGTGAGGCAAGTGCTCTACCACTGAGCCACAGCCCTGACTCTAGAGAATTGAGTTTAGGACCCACTGCAGAGTTTATCTCATCATTTTATTAGTGATTAGCATTTTATAGAAGTCAAAGGGTCAGGAATCCAAGGTAATTAATGTGGGCGACCCCTTCCACCTTAGAGAGGACGCTGCCCCTCAGACTCTGCAGCTCCCTCACTGAAGCTGACGGTGTTGAGGGTGTGTGTGACCTGTGGCAGCTGTCAGCTGCAAGGCCAGTGCTTCTAGCCTTTCCTGCTCTTGCCCTCTCTAAGCTGGTTTCCCCTCTGGCCTCCCATCTATGTGATTTTTTTCACCAGTGGCCTCTTTGGCATATTCTGGGGCCCTGCAGGGAGCCCTTGGAATACTGGCCTAAAGCATGATTTTTGGTGAGTACTGCAAACCTTCAGTCTCTGTGTCAGACAGACCATCACCATGTTGAGAGTGCCTTCAAAGTCAAAATAACAAGTCATTCTTGTTAAAATGATCTCTAGTGACTTAACAAAGAAGAGTGAAGTACCAGGGGGTAAAACATTTTATTTTGGGGTCCCACCCAGCAGTGCTCAGGGCTGGATGACTCCTGGCTCAGATGTATAGAGTGGAAGCTGCCAGAGTTCCTACATGCAGAATATGAGCTCCTGCCCCCCCCCCCCCGAAAAAAATCTCTATTTGAAATACTTTAACTGTATCAAGTTTTAGGAATGAGTCCACAAGATATACCAGGGATTTTTAAACACAAAGTTGCTTAGGTCAAAGATAAACCAAACCAAACCATAATTTCCCCAAGAGAAACCAAAAGGCCTTCTTTAAAGGAATGCCTTTTAAATTGGGTGGAGGAGGCAGGGGTTCTCCCCAACAGTGCTCAGGGGGGCTGGGGGTAACTTCTGGGCCATGCCTGCCAGCTATGCAGGTTGGACAGTTCAGTGCTTGGGCCTGGGTGGTCACCAGAGCCACTCCCAGTGGTGTGCAGGGCACCATCTGGGGTCTCTGCACAAAGTCTTGGGCTCCTGTCCTTTGAGATAACTCCCAGGCCAATAAATAATATAAAATTTCTAAATCCTTCTGTTTTGTTGTATTTAGTTCTTGAGCCACGCCCAGCAGTTCTCAGGGCTTACTGCCGGTTCTACACTCAAGGTTCACTCCTGGCACAGCTTGGGGGAAACCGCATGGGGTGCCAGGGATTGAATTGGTGCCAGCTGCATACAGGGCAAATGCCCAACCTGCTGTACTATTGCTTGGGTTCCTAATAAATACTCTTAAAAGTATTCATAGAAGAGAATTTTCTTAGTATAAGGATAATCTATTCCTGGTCAATGGCCAATACCATTTGTTTAATGAAACTATAGAACAGAAGTTTCCAAACTTACTTGGCCTGTTATCCCCCTTTTCAGAAAAATAAAACACAAAGTCAGCACCATCCCACCCACCCACCCACCCTAGAAATTCACCTTCTTTTATTTTTTTATTTTTAAAATTTTTACTTATTTTTTTGAGGCACCGTGATTTACTGTGCTGTTATACTTTTTATACATCCATCATTTCAACATCACACCCATCACCAGCGACCCCCCCCTTCTCTTCACAGTGTCCCAAGGGCCCCTTCCAACCACCAGCTTGCAGGTAAGCTCAGTTCTGTGGATAAAACCTCCAGTTCTGATGCCTTTAGCCATTTGTCTCTCCAGCCCTATGGTAATAGATTTTAAAATTAACATGGAATAGGTAAATTGTACAAGTACACTATTTAATAAGAGTGAGGAGAGGAGAATTAAGAAAATATTACGAGAGAGGCTGGAGAGACAGTAGAGGCTTGCTTTGCTCATAACCTTGGACCCAGGATCAATCCCCAGCACTACATATGGTCCCCTGAGTCTCAGGAAAGAGCCCTGAGAACTGCCAGGTATGACACCCCCCCAAAAAAAAAAAAACAGGAAAAAAATTGAAAATTGTAAGGGAGAACCTGAATTGATTTTTATGGAGTAAAAAAGTGTGTTTTGATCTTAAAAAGGGAGTATAGGCTTTTATGTTAGGGAATATAGATAGTGCTTAAGAATCTGCATTTGTAAGTAAAAGTTTGTAATAAAAATCTTCATAGATAGTAAAATTCTGAATAGACATAAACAGTATAAATGAAGGTTGATTTATATTGATTGACTCATTCTTGAACAAGTATAAAGTTCCTTAGCAAGCGAGGAGTAAATAGACCTTTATTAATCTAGTAGAGGACGACCATAAGCACCATGAGGGAATGTCATACTCAGTGGCAAAGTACTGAGAAGTTTGTCTTGTCTTTTAAAGAAACTTCATTTACACTTTCTGCAAAGTTGATTTGGGTTGAATGGTTTGGCCACATGCATTCCCTAAGTTCATGAAGTTTATGAAGCTCTATATTGTGCCTCAGCTATAAATGAGAATCTTAGAAGGATAGAGTATTCTTGGTGAGTTGTTCATTGAGTTTCATTTTACTGCATCCCACCATTTTCTTCTGACTCATAGGTCTCATTTGGTAAATCTGATGTGAATCTTTTAAAGGTCTTTTTAAGATTTGATAGATTTGCCTTTCCTTTGTAAGTTCCTTCTTTGATCTTCTTGTTTTCAGCTTCTGTCTCCATCTTTGGCTTTTGTCATTCTGATTGTACTGGAGCTTGGTGCCTGTATTCCTCAAACTCTTAGCTACGATTTACTGTACTAGGTTCTTCATCAGATTTGCCTTCCTGTTCCTCAGGGAACTCTGATGATTTTTACACTGTTCCTCTTGAACTCATTCTATAGGTCTCTTGTATTTCATTCCTTCTCTTTCAAACTTAGTTCCCATTTCCTGTTGTTTCCAGAGGTTTCCTGCATCTCATGTAGGGACTCCTAGATTTTTTCCTCAGCTGCTGTTCTTCTGCTGCTCAGACAGATCCTCTGCTGCATTTATTTTTAAACATCATCAGTGTAGTCCTCATGTGTCACTTCTGATTGTAGTTTTTCTCATTTCAGCTCTTATCATTTCTTGGGCTTTGCTGACTACCTGTGCCATCATTTATGCTCATTAAACATCCTCAACAGGGTGTCACTGAGTTTACAGAGCTAGGTAGTACTGGTTGAGCCTCTTATTCTTTTTGCTTATTGAGCTTGGTGGGGTCCTACACATCTCCTCTATTGGTGTCCCACCGTGCTGTGGGTGAGTCTTTGTAGTCAGCCTCCCTGGGAATCCCTGAGGGATTAGGCTGGGTCTTGCTCTTTTCCTTTGCTGCTGGTCTTCCCCCAGTGACAGGAAGTGTGTGAGCTCTGTGAGGTGTGAGGAGTAGGGCTCTGTGAAGAGATGTGGAGGCTGCTGGACCCTGCTGGCCAGGAGGGAAATCTTCTTGATTGATAAAGAAGTAGCAAGCAGATATCTCAGGAGATATTGAGGTGGAGCCACTGAGAATAGAGCAGAGGAAACAGAGAAAGCATCCCCCAGTAGCACCTGGAACCCTCCAGGAACCTCCAGGGGGTGGTGTCACCCATCTTGGGAAATGTTGTTCTAAAGATATTCCTGTTACAATCAAGAGGAGGGACCAGAGAAACGTTCAGCAGGTAGGGTGCTTGCCTCGCACACAGCTGACCTGGGCTCAATCCCCAGTACCACAAATAATTCCCAGAGGCCCTAGGAGGATCCCTGAGTGCAGAGCCAGGAGTAAGCCAGGAGCACCGTTGTGCCCTCTCCCAAGAAAAATAATAAATGAAAATAAGAAGCAAGAGGAAAGGATTCTTTTTCAACACTATTTAACATCACCCTGGCATTATGAAGGAAATAAACAAGGAACAGACAACCAAAAGGGAAATCGTGGGGCCCCGGGGTGGCTCCATGGCAGAGCACCTGCCTGACAGGCATGAGGCCGTGATAATCTATCCCTGGCAATGCCCCACATGCCAGGTGTAGGCCAGCACCACTGCCCTTTGGGATCTTAGGCATACCACAGCCACATGTGGGACCCCAGCAAAGTGCCACAACCAAGTGTGTACAGCCCTCCCGCCACACAGCAGAGTAACATAGTTCTAAGAATATGACAGAAAACTGGTACACACAAAGAAAATGATAAATGCTGCTGTACAATATCAAGTGTCTGGTGGGTCAGGAAAACCCACAGCTCTGCGACTGAGCACGTGTTTTCAATTCTGGAGACCTGGGTTATCCTCAGCAAGGTCCCCTACACACCACAGGAGTGACCCCAAGCAAAACCTAACCCTCAGCTCCCCTCCCTCCCCTCCCCCAGTAACTACTTAAATGACTTAGACGGAAATGCTGTCTTTCTTAAAGATTAGAATCAAACGTTAACTCAGTTTTCAGCTTAAAAAAATTACCAACATTGTGAAATTTTCTTAATAAACAAGTGAGAAGAGGAAAAAAATTAAAAACCAAGAATAATTAGTGGTGACTATCCTCCTAAACCATCCCTTTATTGGCTTCAGTTATGGGAAATAAAGTAAAGCTTCACCCCTTGGCATTTTTAGTTGCCTCATTATTTAAATAAGAGCATCGTGCTAATCTGAAAGTAAAAAATATGAACTTTCAATGATCTGGATTCAGATTAGCCACCATTCGTCTAACACTTTAGCTTGGGGGCCCACCTAGTTTGTGTTGACCCCTCAGAGTTCCCAGGATATGACTTGGCTTATCCACCAGGGCTGCCCAAGAAAGCCGGTAGCTCCTTTCACAGGCCATCCTCGCTGTGCCTGATCTAGCAGTGGGACCCGTGAAAGGGTTCACCAGATGCTCCTTTGTCGCTGCAGTTGTTCTGTTTTTCCTGTAGGGCGAAATAGTCAAGAAGTACACTCAGTTCAATCCAAAAACCTATGAAGAGAGGATCAAACTCATCCTGCAAATGTGTGTCGAAGCTGCAGCAGAAGCTGTAAAACTGAACTGCAGGATTTTGGGCGTAGGTAAGACTGTGAGTTCCATATCCAAGAAATGTTCATTTTCACGCACAACCACTGAATTCAGATGCTAAAAACTCAAGTCAGTGTACGCCAAGATGTAGCTAGATCCTGTCCTGGGCTCCAAGCAGGGAAAACCCTGGGACACTGAATAAGCCATATGAGAAAAGCATCAATGACACTTGAAATTTGCGGGCAGTTGTAGATTTAATGCAAAACTGCCTTGCATTTCCTTTCAGTCCTTGGTATAATGCTTATCTTAGGAGACTTTTTTTTTGGGGGGGGGGGGCACAGGGAACACAGCAGCTCAACCTTTATTATAATCACGATAATGCCTAATGGAAGAAAATCCACAGAAAGATACTTGTGCAATACAGAAAATAGCAATGACCCATAGGAGACTTGAGTGAATTAATTTCTGCTTCAAGCCCAGAAAGTTGGCCTGTTTCATGAGATTGCTGATCAGTCATTTTCCTTGTGTTTGTGGTGGAGCTCAGGCATTTCCACTGGCGGCCGTGTAAATCCTCGGGAAGGCATTGTGTTGCATTCAACCAAACTGATTCAAGAATGGAATTCTGTGGACCTCAGGACCCCACTGTCCGACACTTTGCACCTCCCCGTGTGGGTGGACAATGATGGGAACTGTGCCGCCCTGGCAGAAAGGAAATTTGGCCAAGGAAAGGGCCTGGAAAACTTTGTGACTCTGATCACAGGCACAGGTAAGAGGTGTGAGGAGGTGACATGAGAAGCTAGTCTGTGTGCTGGGGGATACCTTCCTGACTCAGCCAGAGTTTGCCCTGCCAGAGCTTAACTCTCCCTCCCACCCCCCAAACCACAGGAAATTGTCAGAACTCTTCAAAGTCCTTATTTGCCAAAGTAGCTCATTCTCTAGCTTTTCCTCAGTCTTTTTGGGTTAGTAGGTCTTTTGCCCCGACTGTTACCTGTTGCATAAGGCAGCATTTTTGGCGAATGCGTCCTGTCTAGCCACTTCAGCCCTGGGCAGGATCCGAGGTTGCTGACCCTGAAGTGAGCTGGTCCTCAGGAGCCCACGGGCAGATGCCCCCATTGTCTGTTTTTTGGAGAGAGTGGTTTGACCTGTTCCTCCAGTGCTTCTCCTGTCCTGGGAATGTGGGCTGTCCTTCAGTCTGCCTGCCAAGCTGGGGCATGGTGGTGGTACCCGCAGATGCCAGAAAGTTCTTACTTAGATTGGGCTGGGTTTTTTTCTTTCTTTATTTCTTCTTCTTTTTTTTTCTAAATTAAGCATTTCCTGGGTTGTCAGGAACTTTCAGTTCCCAAAGTTCAAAAAAAGTAGAATCTGACAGTATTGTCAGTTTATCTGTTGCTGTAGTAAATAGGATAGCTTTTTTTTTTTCCCATCTCTTGTTGCTGTGACCTGAGGCCACTTGGTTGGGTTGTGCCAGAGAGCACACTTTTCTGTAGCATTTGGAATCCCACACTGCAGTGCTGCCAGGCTTGTGCTCAGCATATGTGGTGCTGCGGGTGGGTGGAGTGAGCAGACTCAGCCCACGAGGCAGGCACTCTGTCACTCAGCTGTTTCTGGCCCCACGCTTCAGTTATGGGGAAGGACTTCAGATTTCCGTGCTCTACCATATTTTGGCAAATGTCCTAATAACTTGGGTTTTGCTCTTTTTCTTACTTTCTAATTTTTTTAAAAGTGAGAAACAGACTCCACTTACAGGCCAGCATTTGATCTTGGATGGGTCTAACTTCAAAATGGGAGTGCTCTGACTTCTCTCAGCTCACATACTGTTTTTTTTTTTTTTTTGGACAGACAGTTTTTACAAGCTTGGGTATTATTTACTAGCTCAGAGCAGTTGGTAGTTAGACGTTATATGAGGAGTAGGTACCATAAGAAGTAATAGAAGGGGGCTGGAGTGACAGCACGGAGGGTACGGCATTTTCCTTACATGCGGCCCGACCCGGGTTCGATTTCCAGCATCCCATATGGTCCCCCAAGCATGGCCAGGAGTAATTCCTGAGTGCATGAACCAGGAGTAACCAGTGCATAACCCCTGTGCATCGCTAGGTATGACCCAAAAAGCAAAAAAAAAAAAAAAAAAAAAAAAAGAATAGAGGGCAGGGCAACTCTAAAAGAAGAGCTTTTATTCCTTAGTAACCTCTAAACTCTGTAACAAAACACAGTTTATTAATAGTCATAATCATTGAATTACAGATTGTTAAGACAAGGAGGCATTGGAAGAAGCAATATATCATCTTCTGTTTGAGGGAGCAGGTAGTATTTGTACTGTACACTTTAGACAGATTATCTTGGATTTCTGTCTAGCAGAGCCTGAGCTCAGGATATAGGGGCAGGTTTTTTTTTTTTTCTTTTTGGGTCACACCTGGCAATGCACAGGGGTTACTCCTGGCTCTGCACTCAGGAATTATCCCTGGCGGTGCTTGGGGGACCATATGGGATGCTGGGAATTGAACCCGGTCGGCTGTGTGCAAGGCAAACGCCCTATCCACTGTGCTGTCGCTCCAGCCCTAAGGGGCAGGTTTTTTATTTCAGAAGTGACCCTGAGAAGTAGGAATAAAGAGAGGATGAATGAACAGAGTAGGAGGAAAGCCTCAAGAGAAGGATTAATCAAAGGTGCCTTGAGAGCAGTAGCACTGAAATCTACCAGAATCTTCCAGAAGTTTGTGGAATGCCACCCAGAATCATTCACCTGCATGTGCTGGCCTTTGTGTCACTTTGAGAGATACCTGTGGGCTCTGAGTGAGTGTGGCTGCCGAGGCTCCTGTCTCGATATTGCAGAAGGCCTGGGGGTTGCTGAGCCCTGTGTTTGGTGGGGATTTGCCGTCAGCACAGGGTGAGTGTGAGCCTGCATGGAACTTCCTGCCCTTAAAAGTCCAGTTTACAGGGCTGGAGCGATAACACAGCAGGTAGGGTGTTTGCTTTGCACACAGCCAACCCGGGTTCGATTCTCAGCATCCCGTATGGTCCCCCGAGCACTGCCAGGAGTAATTCCTGAGTGCTGAGCCAGGAGTAACTACTGTGCATTGCTGGGTGTGACCCAAAAACAAAACAAAACAAAACAAAAAGACCAGATTACAATCAATAATCCAAGCAGATGTAACACAAGATGTAACAAGGTAGTAAAAACAGCTGCTAAAGACATTTCTGTGCAGAATGATTCCAAATAGTTTTGGTCCTTGGGAAGTTCCTGTTGTCTAGGAAAGCGGGCATCGTACAGACCCTCACATGCCAAAGCTCCACTGACCAGAGTTCAGTTCCCGACAGTCACTCCTCCATGGTTGTCTCTCTACAGGCATCGGAGGTGGGATCATCCACCAGCATGAACTGATCCACGGAAGCTCCTTCTGTGCCGCAGAGCTTGGTCACCTCGTTGTGTCTCTGGATGGGCCCGACTGTTCCTGCGGGAGCCACGGGTGTATAGAAGCATATGCATCGGGACTGGCCTTGCAGAGAGAAGCCAAAAAACTACATGACGGTTGGTTTCTTCATTATGCAGCTGTAGGGGACTTTGTAGTCAGGTCATCAGCGAGCAAAGCCACAAAGACGAACCCCAAGGCCAGAACCTTCCTGTTTGCCTGTGGGCAAGCAGGCGTCCCTCTCCCTGAAGATGGGAAGAGTCCTGGGTTTTGACCCTCATCCACACTCTTCCCCTCTGGGGCTGGAGGTGGGCGGGGGTCCTCAGCTCCAGGACAGCACAGAGGAGTTCTTTCATTTCTGATTCTCAGCCCTAGCACAGGCCAGGTGCTCATACACATTTCCTGTTTTTTAAATTGAGGTCACGGTGGTTTACAACATTGTGTATTTCAGGTGTACCATTTCTCATCTTGGCAAACTATAAATCACACCATTAATGGTCCAGCTCACCTCCTCCTTCCCTCCTAGCTGCCCCCATAAGTTGTTTAGAGTAAGGGGTGGAGCCAGAGTGATGGTACAGCAGATAAACCTTTGCACGCAGCTGACCTGGGTTCGATCCCTGGCACCTTTTACAGTACCCTGAGACTGCCAGGAATGACTCCTGGGCAAACACAGAGCCAGGAGTAAACCCTGAGCACCTCTGGGTGTGGCCTCAAACATCTCTATACACGCCTCCACATTCTAGAATGTCCCACTTAGAAGCCCTCTGCCAGCGCACAGCTTTTCGAAAATCTAAAATTTAGATCTGTCTTGCTCCTCTTGTCCCCACTAAAGAAGAACCTAAGGGGTTTTATTTCTGTTTTGTTCTCTTGCTTTGTTTCTTTGTATTCCACTTATGAGTGAAACCAGCCACTATTTTTCTTTCTCCTTCTGACTACTTCACTGAGCAATATCCCTTCAAGGTCCATCCATTTTGTGCACATGCAAAGGCTCATCCTTTTTTTGTGGTTGTGTAGTATTCCATTGCAGATTTATCTTTACTTACCATCTGATAGACAGCATTTGATAGATAGTCCAGATCTTAGCTATGTTAAATGATGCTTCATTATGAACAAAAGAATGCATATATATTTTGGGGAGAGAGGCATACCCACTGGTGGCGCAGGGCTGTTCTGTGTACTCAGGCTATGTAGCTTTTTTTTTTTTTGCTATGTAGCTTTTAAAATTAGTGCTTTCAGTGCTTTTATATTTGGATAGGTCCTAGGGATGAAATTGCTGGATCACAAAATGACACATCATTTATATATATTTATAGTATAAATATGTCGATAATATGTATGAGAAACACATTTATATATGCACATGTATATAACACACACACACACACACACACACACACACACATATATATAGGGGGATTTTGACCACACACTGAGCTGTTCAGGAATGATTCCTAGAGGTGCTTGGGTGGGTGCAATTGAGGCATGAAGGACTGAACCAATGTAAACAGAATGCTAAGCAGGTGCCTTACCCCCTGTAACTATCTCTCTTTTCCTGTTTGTAATATTCTAAGGAACTTCCAGTGTTTTCTACAGAAACTGGACCATTTTATATTCCCACTATTTAGAGAATTCTTTTTCCTCACACCTTTGCCAACACTTAACTGCCTTTGATCTTCTAGATACAGACCATTCACACAAGCACGAGGTGATAGCTCATTGTGGTTTTTCATCTGCATTTTCCTGATGTCACATAGAACATCTTTTGATGTGTCTGTTGGCCATCTGTATGTCATCTTTGGTGAGATGCCTATTTAGATCCTCTGCCCATTTTTATTTATTTTTGCTCTTTGGGTCACACCCGACGATGCACAGGGGTGAGTCTGGCTTTGCACTCCGGAATTACACCTGGTGGTGCTCAGGGGACCATATGGGATGATGGGAATCGAACCTGGGTCAGCTGCATGCAAGGCAAACACCCTACCTGCTGTACTATCACTCCAGCCCCTCTGCCCATTTTTAAATTGAATTTTGTTTTTCTGTAGTTTACATATTGTGGACATTAACCCTTTTCATGTAAGGTTTGTAAGTTTTTTATTCAGTAAGCTGAATTTCATTTTCATGAGGTTTCTTTTGCTTTGCCAAGGCTTTTCAGTCTGTTTCCCATTCATATACTTCCTTTTCTCTCCTCTTGTCTTCAGAGATGAATCCACAAAGACACTGTTGTCATGATGCTTACCATCTCTGGTTTTAGTCTATGCACTTTATGGTGTCAGATCATAAATTCAGTGTGTAATCTGTTCTGAATTAATTTTAGTATATGGTTTGGTAGTCGTCTAGTTTTATTGTTTTTGCACGTCTTTATAGTTCTTATACCACCAATACAAATTTTAATGGGAAATAGGTGGATAAACGTGAATTTTTCAGTTTCCATTTTGAGGTTTTGGGCCACACCCAGTGATGTTCAGGGGTTACTCCTGGTTCTGTGCTCAGGAATTACTCTTGGCAATGCTTGGAGGACCATATGAGATGCCAAGGATCAAACCTCAGTTGACTGTGTGCAAGGCAAACACCTTACCCGCTGTACTGTTGCTCCAGCCCCTAAACATGATTTTTTTAACTTGTGAGATCTGTTTGCATTTAAGCTATTTTTCTGGATATGTTATGAAAGTCAAATGATTTCTAGTCTAATGCACAAGAAAGTCATCATATTGGAATATGTCCAGTGCAGTGAGAACAGTGGTGAAGGTCTGGAGATGTATAAAGGATGGCGGCATCCCCTTCCAGCCCTCTCCAGAGGAAAGAGAGAGGGTGTCTGAGGACAGAGAATTAGCATGTCATGCTTGGGTGAGTGGGGAAGCGCTTGACTTGCATACTAACTACCCTTTATGGGCACAGAAAGAACAAGGCAGGCTTGAGAGTGACAAAAGATAAGCTAGACCCTGTGTCAGATAAATGGATGAATCATTGAGAATCTTAGCAGCAAGACAGATCTGAATTTTAGATTTTTCAATAAGCTGCGCACTGAGGGAGGGCTTCTAAGTGGGACAGTTCTAGAGTAACCACCACATGTTGAGACTAGGAAAGTACGGGGAAGACTAAGTTTCGGTGTAAGATAATGGCTAGGTGCCCATGGGACGTCTAAGAGGAAATGGGTAAGAGGCAGCTGGCACTGAGTGGTGATGCTCTGGGGAGTTGGCAGGGCCAGAGAGAGGGAACTGAGAATGACTGGTCTGGTGGTTCATCACGTCTGTAGGCAGTCTAGGCCTCTAGAGACAGTGTATGGGTGTGTATTTGTGAATGCCGAAGTTTTGCAAATGTGGAAAGAGATTATTTTCCCAATGAGGGTCTTGCTACCCACAGACAGAATGGTACCCCCGGCCTCCCCTCTGGGCAGCTACCATCATTAATGCTCATTTCTCCTCCCCTCCACGCTTGCAGAAGACCTGCTCTTGGTAGAAGGGATGTCAGTGCCAAAAGATGAGGCTGTGGGCGCATCCCATCTCATTCAGGCTGCAAAACTTGGCAACGCAAAGGCCCAGAGCATCTTGAGAACGGGTGAGTCTGTGGTTCTGAACGGCTCAGCCACAGGGGATAGGATGACGGGCCCCGGGCTCCCACAGCTTCCATCTGTCCTCAGAGCTGTGCTCTGGAATATCTGCTCAGAGGTACAAAGGAGGGAACTGCAGGCAAGGTATTTGGAAATACTGTTTTTCAAGCAGGTGTTTTGTTTTATATTTGACAGCTAAGTTGCCTGTGCATTTTATAACAAATTCAGAAAAATAACAGGAAAGAGGATCACTTTGAATTTGATCAACACCAACCATCATTTCTTTGCAGTTTAACTGAGATCACAGAGTGTAGCACACAGAATTTTCAACCCTTTTTATACTGCAAAGTATCACACAACCCTTTCTAATATTAACAAATGGTGGACATTCTTTCCTGTTCTTCACTTTGTAATGTGAGTAGACTTAACTGTTCCTGGCTGCTGGCTCTCTTGCCCTCTTGGCAGGCTGATTTGGTGCCCTCGCTGACACTGATTTTTCTGTTTCCCTATAGCTGGAACAGCTTTGGGTCTTGGGGTTGTGAACATCCTCCACACTATGAATCCTTCCCTTGTCATCCTCTCTGGAGTCCTCGCTAGTCACTACATCCATGTCATCAAAGACGTCATTCGCCAGCGAGCCCTGTCCTCGGCCCAGGATGTGGATGTGGTGGTTTCAGATCTGGTTGATCCTGCACTGCTCGGTGCCGCCAGCATGGTTCTGGACTACACGACCCGCAGGATCCAGTAGGCCTCCCTGAGGGCTCGCGGACCAAGACTCGAGAGCTCCTTCATGAATTCAGGGTGACCTGTAGACAACCGTTTCTTAGAAAGCAAATTTGGTATTTGGCAAGTGACTTTGGCGGAGAAGCTTTTGCTTTCTGTCTCCTGAAGTTCCCTTTCTCAGACCCATTGTTGTAGATGCTGCTCTTTCTGGGATCATTTTCAGCTCCAATCATGTAAGTACCAGTCACGCTTTTCTGTGCCAAAATGAGCTACACAGTAGGCAGGGAAGCCTTAGGATTCTGCCAACTCAGTGTGCCCGGAGACCTGTGGCCTTGCTTCCTGTGTGAGTGAACTCAGATAGGGAGGTCGAATGAATAATCCTTCCTCCTCCATCCTCGATGGAGATGGCAGCAGCTGTTCAATCAGGGAAGAGAAGGAAATCTCACCATGAAAGGCTTGAGTCAATTTTTTAGAAGTTTTATTGCAGCATTTTTAAGAAGTATCATTTTGATAAGCTTTGGATGAAACCATGACCACAATCAAGACTTGGACATTTGTCATCCCAGATGTCACTTGTTGAAGGATGTTATTTACTCCTCTAGCAGAACTTGTGAGCAAGTTTAGACCAGGATCTGAACTACAGTGGCCTTAGTCCTGTTTGAAGGACAACTGAGAAGCCAGCCCCTCGGCTTAGTCTCTGAAAGGAGATTCAACATCGTGGAAGACTGTGCCATCGACAGCAGACTGTAGCATTTCCCACTGGCTGGGCTGTGCCCTTGGCTTGTGCACGGAGGCAGTGTTTGTATTTGACCTAGGGTTCAGACCCGAGACTGAATTCTGGCCGGATACGATTCTGTGTTCACTGGTCTCAAGGTACCAGTATTCCTACTCTCAGTTGCAATCTGAAAAAAATTGTAATGAAGAACTACCGGTTTTTAAGTGCCTCCTGTGTGCCCGGCTCTAAACTAGGTGCTTCATATACATCATTCTTAATTCTCACAAGCTGTGAATGAGGTGTTTTAATTCCCATTTTATAGAACCCTAAACTAAGGAGATTTAGTGTGTCAAACGATGTGCCTAGAGCTTTGTGGCTAGTGAGTCTTGGTGACAGGGTTTGATTCCAGGTTTTTCTGGGTTTTTTTCTCCTGCTTAGGCATACCCCTCATTTCAAAAACCTGGAAAATACATACTTTCTCATTTACTTCAAACTACTGAAAGCTTTATAAGCATCTCATTTGCAAGCAACTTGACTGTTCCACAATTCTCTCCATGGTGAGGAACAATCCTCTCTGTGGTGAATTCTATCAAATACTCCGCTATGCTGTGGAAATTTGGTCAGCACAGTATTTGGGAAAAGAATTTTATAGGGACTTTTAGATGATTTGAAAAAAGCATAGGCATGTTTTTCAGATGGCTATTTTAGGAGAACCTAAAGACTTCTACAACAATGAGTGTTAGCATATATAATGAAGTGAAGGAATCAATATTCTATCTTAACTACTTCCTTTGTAATGGGTTCATGTGAAAAAGAAGTTGGCTGATTCCTAGAATCTGGCCAGCCCTGGGTTATTCCCAGGTCCTGGTTACTGTAACATTCCATGGTGATCCCAGGAAGGAAGCTCATCTGCCTGAGCAGCCGTCTGGAACAAGGTGTGCAGTGAAGGGCACTGACTGCAGCCCCTCGGTGAAGGAAGGCTCTGACAGCCCTCTCCACCAGACAGCTGCACTGCAAGCAGGTATTTGAAAGGATGATACTAAGTCCAAAACCAATCTTAGTTTGTATTGAATTTATGAAAAGGCTAATATATTCCAATGTAATTATTACATATAGTTAAGTAATCATGTTAATTTATCTTCATGTAAATGTTTTTATGTTACTATTCTGAGACAAATGTTTAAAATAAATACATTTCCTTGCTGAAGTCCTAACACTTTTATATTTTATTGTATCTTCTTTTTTTGTTGTTGTTTTGGGGCCATTACCCAACAAGGCTCAGGATCACACCTGGCAGGACGCAGGGAACCATATAGGATGTGGGGGATCGAACCCAGGTCGGCTGTGTGCAAGGCAAGTGCCCTACTATCATGTACTATCACATTCCAGCCCGTTGTTTTTCTTTTCAAAATATGTCCCCCCGCACACACACTCCCCTCCCTCCCTGGCAGTGGGGTAACACATTTGGCCGTGATGCAGCACTGGCTGGAGTTGCACGTGACATTGTGGCGCTCTCACACACGTGCTTGTGGCACACCAGCATCCGCCCCTTTTCCTCTGTTGCTGGAGATGGAATTCACGCACGCAACACAGACATCACTCTTTCTGTGGCAGCAGGGATGACAAATGGCAGTGCCATCAGGAGCATGTGGGGTCATGCCAAGGATTCAACTCATGCCATATGCCTGCTGGGCAAGCACTTTGCCACTTAGCCACAACCCTGGAACTTTTTGTTAAATCATTAGCTAGAAGAATTCCTGTTCTTAGAATTATAACTGGTGGTTGCACTGTCTGCCTTTTGAAGGTCACATAATTTCTTTAACATGCCTAACATTGGCTTCTCACTGCCACCCCCATCCCTTGTTTAAAAAAAAAAAAAACCTTGAGCATTAGAATAGTTACATGATGTCTAAAATTTGACTTTAACAAAGGCAGGGTGGCCATGATAGTCGGGGATGTGGCTCTTGTGGATCGCCGGTAGAGCACCTGTCTTATGTGAGCCCCTGGGTTCAGTCCTTAGTGCTACAAACCAAAACCAAGAGGCCCCAAGAACTGGTTTGAAACTCCGTGTTCAAAACTGAAACGCGTTCCTGGACTAACTGCCAGCTCTTCATCAAGCTAAGTAAAGTTGGCATGAGAACGACCAGTAGTAACTGGTTGATGTCTCACAGGCTTGTTTTCTCTATGATTGCTGTGAGTCAGGAATTTGGGGAATGCGCCTCTTGGCAGAGTGACAGGCTGTGCTTCACACTTGCAGATGACAATGGGTGCAGCTTTACAGGTGGCCAAGATCGTGGGCACTGGGTAAGTGACTCTGCATGTAGTTTCTCAGTCACTCCATGCACTGTCTGTAGGTGCTTGTTTGAGCGTCCACATATGTGGATGTTTCCAAGATGGTGGTTTTAATGGTGGCCCAGGGTAATATCACAACAAACCAAAACCATTGCCTTCTATGAGTAACCTCGGAAGTCAACCTGTCTGAGCATCCAGTCACCTCTTGATCTTGGGAATGTCAGGTTTTACTAATACTTACTTTTTTCTGCCAACATTTAAAAACTTCTCAGGAAAAAAAATAAAAATAAAAACTTCTCAGGAAGCCCATCTAGTGCAGGGGGCAAGACTAAGAGCAGATGATGCCACGGGAGGTACTGAGTAGGGATGAGGGAGGAGAGGAAGGACTACAGGAAAACCACTGAGGGAGCTGGCCTTTCAGCAAGTTTGTAAACTGGGTTTTGACATCTTGGATGACATCAGCCAGGTAACAAATGGTGAACACTGAGTGGAGGACAGAGCAGAAAATGCCAACTCTGTGGTCAGATTTAGAAATTACCAAAGAAGCTTAGAAAGGAGATGGGGGAAGGGGCTTTCCCTCTAGATGGGAACCACAGAAAACGTGGGACTTGACCTCTTGGCAGTGACAGGCAAGACCTCCCTTCCTCCTGGATGTGGTGTTTTAAGAGTTAACATCAACCTTCTTCAGTAACTATAAAGCAGACAACTGAAATACAGCTTCTTTATTTGCTTGAACTGTGATCTAAATATGTGCCAGGCCCTGCAGCAGGTAACTTGTGGCAGCATCTCCTAGAGGCAGTCGACAGACAAGTGCAACTCAGAACTTTCAGTGGCAGGAATGTTCTGCCTCTGCTGGGCAAACTACCAACTAGTGTAGCGTGGAGATATGAAATAACAGCCCTGTCGTCAAGTAGCCGGTCCTGGGGGTGGCCTGGAAGGTCTAGAAACCCGAGGAACATGGCAGGGAGGGCACAGAACCCCAGAGAATGCTACAAGATGCTGATGATTGAAACTCGCCACATGTTCATGTTATGCCGATTGAGTCCTGTCAGGAGCAGGTCTGACCTAATCTACGTGCCCCCGACAGAAGCCTGCCTGCTGGCTGAAGAGGGACGCATACAAGTGCCCTCTGGGAGAAGGCGTCAAGGCTGGTGAGGGGACTGTGGGCTCTGCTGGGCAGCAACGTGTCACCCTGCAGCGATGGGAACTCCCTTCTCAACTGCCCACCGAACCCCACTACAGACACGAGAAATTTGTGGCTATTTCAGTTCACGGCAGGGGTAGGTGTCCAGCGGCTGGCTGCGTAGCCTCGGTCCTGCAGGGAACGCAAAGGCAATTCCTCATTCCTTGCGACCTTAGACCAGAGTGCAGCACGTCTTTGTGCTCAATAAAGAAACTTCATGTTATTGCTTGAAACAGAAATTTATTCTCAGAATAATGCACAAAAAGCACAGGTTGAGGCCACCGCTGGGAGGCTTCCCTCCCTCCCTCTGCTGCCTCCCCTCCTCTCTGAATGCCGGGGAGAACACAGTTGAAGGAAACATGCAATCACAAACAATGATCAACTCTAAAGACAGAAGGTTTGGTCCAAAAGAACTCAACATAATCAATCCAATTACCGTGAAGAGCCTCACTGAGTAGGATTAAGATACTGCGGGTGTAGTGTTTCCAGGGCTCTTCAGTGCACCAGGGGGGCCTGCTTGAGGGAGATGAGGACAGAGCGCATGCGGGAGACGTCTTTGGCCTGCTTGCTGGACTTGGGGTTAAAGTCACACAGCCGGGCCACCCGTTCCCACTCAGTGCCTGGGGACGACTCATCAATGTCGTTTACAAAGGCTTCTTCTGCTGCCCTGGAAGCAACAACAAAGCATGTTGGTTTAACGCAGAACCCCTCGGAGCTCCCTGGAGACTAACTGTGACAGAGCAACTGCCTCTTCATGCCCGACTTAATGGCATCTGGTTTTCCAAGGGGGTAACAAACAGCCTCTGGTCCAGGGCACAGACACACGGCCAGCTCTCCCGGGCACGGTGCCTGGGGAGCTATGTAAAATGTTGGAATACAGGTGTTTGGTTCAGGGCTCACTCTCTCTGCGGACACAGAGCATTTAAAAAAAGCCAGTCCTCAGCCACAGCCAGCCACGCGCTGCCTTCACTAAGGAGAGCAGAGTAGCTGGCTGGTCAAGAACTCCAACGGTTCTCTGTGTTAGGCAGTGCTAAGTATCGAGTAAATTTAGAGATTGCTAAAATGCCCACAGGTCACTGCACGAGAGCCTCTGGGTTTACTCCTAAGGCTGGAGAGAAAGAAAGCAGATCAGAAGGAATTCAAGACAAAGCTCCCATGCGAAC